CCATCATCGGGCCCTAGAATGTAATGCTTTAACAAATTTGAGTTCCCTTGTAGCTACGAAACTTACAACATAAAGATTGACCGAAAAGGGTACATTGTCGAATTCCATAAAATTTAAAAGGTAGAAAAACCCTGAGGGGGAAAAAGTCCTAGACAAGTTAAGGGTCTACAGCCCTGAAGGGGGGAGTGGATCGAAAGAGAAAAATTGGGGATTATTCCATAATGTTTTGAAAATAGGTAATTAAAATTAACTTAAACTGGGCTTATCAAGCGAAATACTTGAATAACAAAAAAAAGCCCGAAGACGCCATAACTATAAAATCCGTCAACGTCAATTAAATTGACTGGTTTAACTGTGACTTTCGCAGATCGTTGATTGTTTCAGATCCCTAGATAACAAACGTTATGTAAAGCTCTCGCCAGGAAAGATTGCCGGTCATAGAACACTTGATCCCGGTCTACAATCTGTGTTTTTCTGAAGACGTGAGTGACTTCCGGGATAGTATCGTGTCAATTTTGAACAAAAAAACTTTTCGTTCAACATTGACACGATCCTATTCCGGAAGTCGCTCGCATCTTAAGAAAAACAAAGATTGTAAATCGACACAAGGTGTGCTGCGACCGGCAATCTTTCCTGGCGAGAGTTATATCTCCTTTGCATCCTGCAATGGTTTGTTTCTACCATGCGATAAAAAATGAGTTGCTGTCGAGGGACCTTTGGAATTTTTGTTTTCATGGTAAATCGTACTTAACTTCCAAAGGCGACTCGGCAGCAAATCATTTTTGATCGCCCGTTATGTGTATCCTTCAAATTGTTTACAAACATGTTATTTTAGACAAGGTCCACAATTGTTAACAAACTGTCTATCAACATGCGTAGAAGTTGCTGAATTTTGATAGAAATGAATGAATTTTCTGTTATCACCTCCGTTTCACACCCTATGTACTAGACAACTAGACCACAATCCATGAATGCCTTCATCCAAATGTAGGGTTATTGGATCCAAAAGATCCTCAGAGTTCATCAGTTACATTTAGGATCATTTAGTTCTTAACATACACGATTGTAAATGTGGCTAAAAACCATGGTCATTTTTGGGATATTCAGCTTTTGTCAGTATAGGAGCGTCTTATTTTCTCATAAAATCTCTTATGGTAATACAGTATTCTTGTCTTTTATACAAATTTCAAAAATAAGTGCGATATCTTTAACGCTCGAAATAGTGCGTACACCTACTCGCTTTAATTTGTTCTGTGACATATAAACCAAATGTAAATTTCGCAACCGGAAAAAGCCGCGGCCAGATAAGAGACTAGACCGGAAACAATGGCACATTATCGTTTACGCATGTTTATCACCTATGACCTTACTATATATGTCATAATCTCTACCACTCCTTCTTTACACTACATGTAATTTCAATCTACGCGTTTGCACAAAAGAATTCATTCTTGCCCAACTACGCAAAGTAAAAATAGCTTACTCACACCTTTTACAGTTTATTATAGGTACGTTTTGGTAGTTGCTTCATAATTGTACGTGATTAGTTTCCCCAAATGTAAAATAGCTGGTCTTAATTGATCTGACACACACCTTCGTCCTTAAGTGATTTCTACATCCATTTTCATTTCTTTGGAACTATTTTAGGTCATTTAATTTGGTGCCTAGCAATTACACAAGTGCAATTAACTCCAATTGCCATGACACTGTAACCACAATATATCCATGTGAATGAGAGAAATGCTTACCACTTTGTTATTTTGTTCTAAGCATTTCATCAATCTCAGGCCAGGCCACAATTGGAATTGGGGGTTCTGAAAATCATTGCAGCGAACACAAACCGCCCTAGTGCTAATGGGGATTCTATTTATTTTGGGAATATTTTGGTGAAATGCAACAATCCTGAAATACAGAATTTAGCTGTTGTGGGTTGAGGGGGTCGATTTTGCTACGGCTCCAACTCAATACATGCATAAATATCTATTCCTGCTTGAATAGTGGTAAAATGTCTATAAGAATGGTAATCGAGAGAGTGAGTTTCTGACGTCAATAACAAAATTGGACCATAAATATGATTTTAAGAAATAACTCAAATCCTGAGCCGTCGATGGATGAACTAACAAAGGACAGCGCCAACTTCTCGATTGTTTCTGTCAACATCTTACATATTATTTCCCTTTTCTCTGTTGAGGCACAACATATAAAACGCCAGTGTTTTGGGGTTTGGTGCTTCCCCAAGTACTCAATATACACGGTGGCAATTTGAAAACTTACCACCCCCCATGTCTTAGTAAATAAACGAGATATTTTAAAAAAATCAAAATCCGTTTCGGTAATTCGGAGGGGGAATCACAATGACATAGATGGCGACGCACCCCTCCAACCCCCTGCGTCCCCGCCTCCCCAACTTTTAAATCTTAAATAGTGGCCCCCCATGTGTGATACGTCGTTGGAAAGCTCTGAAAAAATGCTTTCCAACCATACCAAATAGCATTATCGTGCAAGTCAAAATATAAACTAATATGATACATTTGAAATCTGTCGTATTTAAAACGCATACATCTCCGGGCTCCGGGACCGACACAGTGGCTCTGCAACTTGCTACTTGCTCACATTAAACGGGTTCATCCATTTGTGAAAATGCGAACAGATTCGTAAGAAGGGGTTGTACACCAAAAGAAAGGGATATTATTCTATGAATCTCTTTCGCCCACAATTTGTGCAAATAGAAAACAAATAAAAAGATTTTCGCCCTAAAGCAAGTAACTTCAGTGCATTTTCCATGAATTGATCAGTACTTCCCAAAAGGCAATAGCTATGTGCGCTATGTTTTTCTTTACTAGCGGCATATATGGTTAACGTTTCAAAGAAAAATCTCCAAAAATGAAAAAGTTGGCGTTGCGCAGTTCGCACATGAGCACATTTGATTTTTACTATGTGCGATGTGTTTGCCTTTGCTAATGACTTTTGTAGTTTTCGATTTTTACTACATGTGATATGTTTTTCTTTACTGGAAACATCTATGATTAAAATTTTAAAGAAATATCTTCATAAATAAGGAAGTTGGCACTGACTGCCCATGCGCACATCTAATGTTTAGCATGTGTGATTAAAATTTCAACAAAATATAAATAAGAAAGTTGACATTGCGCTGCCTGCGCACGGACAGACGGGCGGATAGAGAAAGTGGCTGCAGTAGTGCAGAGTGCACCCAATTTCGTTGGAAAATGCGCTAAAAATGTATCACACCGTACACGCGGAATTCTGATTTTGCCTATTTCTACACAACTATACTGCATTTATTATAAGAAGATAGTAGATGGCGCTGTGTTTTAAGATAAGCACATACAGGAAAAATATAAAATGCCACCAAATTATTGTCAAGTAGAAACATTCAACACTGCGAAGAGAAATAAATCAAACGAAACGAAATGACAGTTCGACAGTTTAGTTGGCAACAGAAACTACCAACTTACAAAATTTGTCACTCGTTTTATTTTTCAGCGTAATACTGTCGCGTGTTTTAACCAATCACAGTGAAGGTCAAAGCTCATTCAAACGACTTTCAAAACAAAACAAATGATTTGCCTCTAAATAGCACTGTGATAATTTAAACGGTGCCCCGCCATAACAGCCATAACGCCTCGACGTAATAACCCCGACAAAATAACTTTTTGACAAAAGATCCCCAATAAACAAGTCTGACCATAAAATAATCCCTACCAGCAAATAAACTTCTACAACACAAAAAATTCCATCAAGATTCACCTGCTGTTTCCCAAGACCATTAGAGTCTTGGAAGGTGGAGCGCTCTTGTTTTGGAGAATTGTGTTTGTTTATTTTTCCCAAAGACAACCATGGAGTGCTAGAGTAATAGAGAGAGAGAACTATGACTGGTTGTTTGCTGAGGGTGGGAGTAGGTACTACCGAAGAAATTGAAGTTGAAAGATTGAAACATGTCAAAGAAACACATGGTGAACAATGCCGAAAAATGCGCTGAAGTTATTCGCCTTAAGGCGAAAACCTTTTTACTTGTTGCAGTTAATGGCAGGGACAGCGGCTGTTTTTGTCAGAGGCTTATCTTGTTGGGGCTCTCGTTTTAGGGATATTTTGAGGCGTCCGCGCATTTGAGCAAGACTTATCAAACTAACTACCCCACGCATTCATTACAAATTATTAGTCTTGACAAATAAGACTTTTGCAATAATCGAAAACATTCATAGAATTGGAATTCAGTGGCTATATGAGCGTTTTTCCTGTGGAGAGTATTAAATAATAAATAAATTGTTTTGATTAGTATCATCGTTAAGGGAAGCGTTTTACCATTGATTATAGTTTTATGCAACAATGGTGATCTGAATTGTGCACAATAATTAATAAAAATAAATTACGCTCACCTCAGTGCAGAATAAAACAATACCATCCGATCACAGTACCGACTAAAATTCGTATTCAGAGAAATTATAGTTTCACGATTAAAACGATATATATAATGATATTAATTAGTATAGACTATGGATAGGGTCGGAATATACCATTCAAAAAATTACGTTCCTTTTATTCCCCCTCCTTTATATTAATCACTTTGGACTAAGTCCTGTAAAGACAGCCTAATATGGTTACCTACTACCCATATATTATTCAGTTTTCGGAAATTGTTTGAAGGAAAAAACTAATCCAACAATAGTAATATTTTATAAATGTAAAATCTATGACGAATGTAATCATATACGCTACGTTCGAGAACAATGGCAAAGTTTTGACAAACGTCCTTCTACACCAAACACAAACGTTCTTCATTAATAACAAAACTAATAACATTTTTTACATAAAAATGCATAATATAAATTGCTTTGTACTTATCAACCAATCACCTTTATTTTTTTTGTAATTTGTGAATGCCAAGACCGAGACGTTTATCAATTTTCCCAAAGTAGAGTTATATTTATATATGCATTGAGTATGCAGCAAATTATAATAATAATAATGTTTTGTTTTAGTTACATGCACAACAGACTTTTGCTCAATTTCAACATGGAATGTGGAGTATGTTGAATCGTGTAGGCATTGCCAGAAGTCCGGACCCTCTCACGTTTAGGCAATTACGGTTCTTATCGGTTGTGGGACCATCTGCTCTTTCGCCGGACCAGCTGGATAGGGTAAGATAAATTAATTCACGAAATTCTTTTCTTAATGTTTGACAAAACCACAGAGTTGTATATAGTAAGTAGAGAAACCGTGTTGTTGTGGATAATTGATCCCAATTGAATCTTGCGCAGGCCTTAGGCCAGTGTGCGCACCAACCAGATGGAGATATAGTGACGAATCAACAACGTAGCTGCGAGCAAAACAAATCAGCTGGTTCGCTTTTCACGTACCACGCATGTCACAACGGCTCGGCCGTTGAAACTATATAAGTATGTGGCCATTGCAGTTATTTTTCCACGCGCAGGTCCTATGTACTGCATCCAATATTACAGATGGTCGGTTGCAAAAATTATCTATTATATGACAGCTGTCAATCTTCCACTTTTTAATTGGATTCATTCATTGCGAATTTCTGTACGGTCTTATACGTTATTTTCAATATTTCAAGTGTTTTTGTTGTGATTTTATATACAGTGAATTTTTAAATGCGAACATAGGAGTTTGCATGCAATGTAATTTTCCTATGTTCGATTTTTAAAAAAAACACATCAACCTATTGAGTAGTTCAAATGAGTAGTAGATACAATTATTGACATTTGTCACATTTTTAAAAATACCGCCATCCAATTTAATTACGAAATCGGTTAGGTTATTGCTTAGAATGTCAAGGAGGACACTTCGAACATTTATTGTAATTGTTTTCGGTATTTATTTTCTTCATGTATGTATTGAATAGATCAAATTAGTAGAATACCAGTGCACATGACCTACAAATAATTGAAGGTTGGTTCACAATGAGTTGTGGTGTCAGTGCGTGGCCTGTGAGGTCAAGTTATTGTAAGTTTAAGAAAAATGTATCCTAAAGTTGCTATGGCCTCACATGGCTTCTTTAAAAAAATCTTACCGAGTGCTCTTCATCATAAAGACTATTAGAGTTGCTGTTCATAGTCACACAAGTTGCGCGATTTGAGAATGTGAACCGCGCACACCTCATAGATTGATGTGTTTTTTTAAAATCTAACATAGGGAAATTACATTGCATGCAAACTCCTATGTTCGCATTAAAAAAAAACTCACTGTATAACTCTTCAAATCACAGGGCCGGTCAGTTGTCCCCAGTCCACCCCTGAATCTGGTTGCTAACGATTTAATTTTTCAAAATTGCATTTTCCATAAACGTCTTTGTTAAAAATTATTTACAACCGAGGAATGCCACATGAGAGTGGGAGCACTTAGGGTTCGGATCAGGGGTTTACTGACAATAAGATCCTACTTATCACGATGGTTTCTTGGATCAATGACAATAATTTTTGAGTTGACATTATTTGGTTCTCAAAGAGCGGATATTTTAGGAATAGCGAATTACGTTTATGTACGTTTTATCGCAGATGTACCTAAATACTTTAAATCTGTGGTTTTATCGAGCAATTCAATATGAATAGAGATAATTATGGTCATGTGAAAAGAACCATGGCATTTACTACCGGCTGCTTAAAGCGTATTTCTCACGCGCGATTCACTACTTTTACTTTTATTAGAAGCATCGGTAACTTCATGGGAATGTCAACAATGAACAAATAATTAATAAATGAGAGAAATTTAAAACAAGTCAACTTGTAACGTACAATGTGCACGTTAAATACTCATTTAAAACCATATAATATTGTCATTGTGTACCGGATGGCGGATAAAGATTAGAATAGAAATGCTACATCTTTGCCTACACAGTTGCACAAGTGCACTCCAATGAGGTACCGGGGGTGCCAGTATAGCGAAGCGCATGGGATATTCATGCTTTTTATAGAAGGGGTGTTTACTGCTCAGGTCCCTAGCTCAACAGAGACCAAATGTATGGGGTCTGTGTGGATTAGATACAGAAAAAGTAGACTGCCAACAATTTCGAATTAAGATATTACGATTACACTAATTCTGACTGAGTTGAAGGAGTCTGATGTAAGATTGAACACAAAATCTTCCCAGTACGAGTGGAAAAATACGCCCCTTATAACCACAAGAAACAATAAAAGACAGTGAGCAAGAGTAGTAAACATCTTCAGATCATGGAAGAAAAAGTAACAATTTGGACAGCAACCGGGGAGAAATACGGCAGGATACTGTTTCAGTGATTACTAGTTATCAGAAACCAGTACGGATAAAGACGATGAAAACGGTTCCACATAACCTTCAGCATCAAGTGAACACCATTCAGAAAGAAGTCATACTAATCAACTCAGCAAGTTGAAATACCAAGAAGTAACAATACAACAAGATTTAAGCAAAACCCATTGGAAGAAGAGCTCAACACATTCTATAGTAGCCAGTCTTTCAAGTGCAGCAACAATATTGGGGACAGTCGTAGCCATCTGGGGAACGTGGAAAGTATGGAAACGAATACCACAGGAGAAGCAACCAGAAGAGAAAATAGAAAATCTTCAGATGAAGTCATTATAATATACTAGTTGCCACTTTCTCGTTTGAGAAGCGAAGATCACTTTAGGTTCAATGGATGCCGTCGTTAGCATCGAGTTGTTAGCGGAGGCCCGCGCACTGGTGAGACGTGTTATTAGATAAAGACATCATTTGAATAACATGCACAAATAAACCCTGACGATACATAATCAAAAATGCCAAAGCGGTGACATTACATTTGATATGGTACTGGCTATGCCCAGTTTGAATTTGATGTAATTATGTTCATAAATGGCCGAGATGACAAAAATTATCAAAGATCTTGTGTGAAATCGAAGGAACTTCAGCGCATGTTTGTGTGGCAGATTATTAGTCAGCCACAAGTTTCGGACCATTTGGAAAAATACGCCCCTTATAACCACAAGAAACAATAAAAGACAGTGAGCAAGAGTAGTAAACATCTTCAGATCATGGAAGAAAAAGTAACAATTTGGACAGCAACCGGGGAGAAATACGGCAGGATACTGTTTCAGTGATTACTAGTTATCAGAAACCAGTACGGATAAAGACGATGAAAACGGTTCCACATAACCTTCAGCATCAAGTGAACACCATTCAGAAAGAAGTCATACTAATCAACTCAGCAAGTTGAAATACCAAGAAGTAACAATACAACAAGATTTAAGCAAAACCCATTGGAAGAAGAGCTCAACACATTCTATAGTAGCCAGTCTTTCAAGTGCAGCAACAATATTGGGGACAGTCGTAGCCATCTGGGGAACGTGGAAAGTATGGAAACGAATACCACAGGAGAAGCAACCAGAAGAGAAAATAGAAAATCTTCAGATGAAGTCATTATAATATACTAGTTGCCACTTTCTCGTTTGAGAAGCGAAGATCACTTTAGGTTCAATGGATGCCGTCGTTAGCATCGAGTTGTTAGCGGAGGCCCGCGCACTGGTGAGACGTGTTATTAGATAAAGACATCATTTGAATAACATGCACAAATAAACCCTGACGATACATAATCAAAAATGCCAAAGCGGTGACATTACATTTGATATGGTACTGGCTATGCCCAGTTTGAATTTGATGTAATTATGTTCATAAATGGCCGAGATGACAAAAATTATCAAAGATCTTGTGTGAAATCGAAGGAACTTCAGCGCATGTTTGTGTGGCAGATTATTAGTCAGTTTTTCCTCCACCATCAATCTGGTCGGGGGCTACCATTTTCTTTTTGTCGGTATCCACCACGTTGACCCGTAATTCACGTTTGAAATTTTTACTCCACCATCAGTAAGATCTTGTCGGAGGGCTTCCATTTCTCAGTACCCACTTCCGACGCACAGTTGAGCATTTGAATTAATTACATGTTATGAACTTCATTGTAAAATGCATTCAGTGGAATATTTCATTCAACCCCATCGATGTGGTCACGGTATACGATAGTCTGTACCGGGGATGTTGTTAACAACTTTTCCTTTTATTGTGTTTCTTTATAATAAAACCCAGTGTTTTACGAACAAAATTGCTGTTTCATTTTTTTAGAAACTCAAAAATTAGGCGAACATATGCCATTTCGAACTGGGAACTTACTTTATTGGATAGCCTTATTAATTATTATATACCAGGTCTCCCACAACATATACCGGAGGCGTTTCCTTTCGATGATCCAAACGCGTCTGGATTGTTAAATCACGTTCTTTCGAAGTGTGATCTTATGATCATGATTGCTAAAATCGTGAACAAACTGAACATAAAAGTTTTACGATCACGAATTCCTAACCTATAAATGCAAGGATATTTTTGCTCCAATGTTAGGTTAGTCAATACTTGTAACTGAAAAGGAGCATAATTGTGCAAGTGCTTCCACTTGTATTTAAATCATTTTCATTATCCAAACAAAAAATATACGTAATTCGAATGCAAATGTGTACTCCGTAAACCTAACCTTACTTTGATTTAAATTCGCGCGTTCTTTCGTAAAACGTGATCCTACGAATCACGATCTTGAAATCATGATCGCGAAGTAGCCGAAAGAAAGCACCTCGGTTATCGATAATGTCGATGAAAGAAACTTCCGGTTATACCGAAAGTTGATTCCAACTCGACGATTTTAAATGGAACACCCCATATATTATTTTCAGATTCCACCTACTCATTTATAATGTCCCATATCTATACTTAGACGTTTTTGACAAATTTTAATTTATGTCAAAGATAACGTTTGCAGTTCAAATCATAACTGCCCAATTGGTTATTATCCTATTGTAGTAACATGCTATTAATTGCGATTGAAGGGTTTTTTTAATTGGCAATGACTTGTCGTCATTTTTTTAGTACTCGATTTTGACATACCGAGTGAATATTCTCAAACCGAACATAGGGAATTAACATGGGAAAAAGGTTTTTTGTAGATAATTGCTCCCCATGTTAAATTAGAGGGTTTATATAATGACACCAATCGAAAGAAGATTTTGTTCCTCGTCAAATGATATACGAATTAATTGATTTTCAGGTGTATTTCTAACTATTTTATCAAACATTCCGCAATAAATCCACTTACCAAAACCATGTTAAGCCATGACTAATAACTTAATAAGACAAAGAGCAGATTCAAACGTCGAAATCAATATCAGTTTACGACAACTGGCATTAATTTAATTAGTATTTATAATAAACAACGTTTACAGCGGAAATATTTACTCTAGTACGCGATATTTGTTTTCTGTGAATTTTAATGACCGCCCCGCCCCATTCTGTCTGTGTGAAAACCTATTTCAATTCTTCAGGAAATTTCCATGGCTTAACATGATTTTGCTAATTGGATTTATTGCCGAATTTTTGATAAAATAATGAGAAATACACCTGAAAATAAACTAATTCGTATATCATTAGAGGAGGAAAAAAATCTTCTTTCGATTGGTGTCATTATGAACCCTCTAAGTTAACATGGGGAGCAACGATATGCAAATAACGTTTCTCCCATGATAATTGCCTATGTACGGTTTTAAAATATTCACCCGGTATAGTATATTATACACTTATATACATGGCCTCTATTCTATATTGAATTTTACCCAGAATCCAAAAATCAAATAACATATAAATATATTCTTCCTATCGTTTTATTTCTACTGCATTTTAAATTGAAACTTACAGGCCAACGAAATAGTACCTACTTACTTGTATTTTTGTTTACCCCACCTTTACGAATACGTGTAGGTACATACATTGAGGGGAAAAATTTGAATATTCTTGAAAATTAGAACGTTACACATATAAATGTCATAGCTATAAGCCAATTTCAAAAAAGCTATGCCAAATTTGAAAAAAAAACAGATTCTTAACATTCGATCTGTGCGTTAATCATGCCTTAATATTATATGATAATTGGTTCCGATTTTCTTGTTACTGGACAGTATGGTAGTGTTACTGGAGATATAAAAATTATTTCATTTTATGCTATATGGGCCAGCATGAAGTACAATCGTATAAATAATATAGGTCCCTCTAAAATATTGTTTGTACTCGTAATATAGGCGTTAGGCTGGTTAGGCAACACACAAAACATATGTTACTAACTTTTATCTTAGATTTCACAGATACTGCCGATTATTGGATGTTTCCATACGAGTCACCCTCGTTAACTCATGATTTGGAAGAAGCCTGGGAAACCGTAAAACCTTTATATGAACTCTTGCATGCATACGTTCGTCGTCGCTTACGTGATTTTTACGGACCTGAAAAAATAAATCGAAGAGCACCTCTACCGGCACATGTGTTGGGTAATATGTGGGGTCAATCCTGGAGTCACATTTTCGATATATCCCAGCCCTATCCAGGAAGAGATTTTTTGGACGTGGGACCGGAAATGATTCGTCAGGTATTAATGATTCTTTCTTTGTACGTGAATTACATGCTATTTACATTATCCAATTATTTTGTTTGGCACAAGTGAAATGAAGTGAAAGTAAATGAGGTTCCTGATTATGTATTTGTATTTACAGTGCAGTGTAGTGGCCTTGCTAATTTATGCTAATTTTAGGGTTATAGTCCAGTTGATATATTCAGATTAGCCGAGGATTTTTTTGTATCAATGAATTTTTCCGCGCTTCCACTGGATTTTTGGAGCGGGTCTCTTTTACAAGAACCTGCCGATCGAGTGGTGCTATGCCAACCATCTGCATGGGACTTTTGTAATCGCGAGGACTTCAGGTAGGGTTGGCAACATAGACGACATATTATTTACCATATTTTTATTCTTACAGGATAAAAATGTGCACTCGCATAAATATGAAGGATCTAATTACTGCTCACCACGAACTGGCACATATACACTACTTTATTCAGTATCGAAACTTGCCCAAAGTGTTTAGAGACGGAGCAAATCCAGGTTAGCGTTCCCCTTATTCATGTAATCACGTGACACGTATTTTCATCGCATCCAATCTGGAAAAAAAACCTTAGTCTCATTGTGATTCAATACCTATACTGAATAATTTCGAACAGTTGATAACCGTGCAGATGGGTAAAAACCGTTGAGTTTCGTACTAGATAGGCATCTATACTTAAGTGAATATACGTGGGGTCGTTCATGCGTCTTAAATCACTTGAGCATTCACATAAGATTAATTGTTTGATCGCGTATAACTGATTTATTTTCACTTCTGCATTCTCAACTAAGCGAAAGTTTAATTACTACACCTTGCATGTATGTTCTGGACGAATGAGTGATAGTATTTTATCCAAACCACTCTTTAGTCTTGGCTTTTATATGTAAGGTCTTATGGTACATTTAGAAGTTTATATCTTAAAATATTATACCTTAACGTGACCTAAGTATACAGAGTGTTAGTTAATATCATGCAGATATTTCAGGGGACGATAGTACTCGTCAAAATAAGAAAAAAAATGCAAATATATGCATGGTCTAAAGGGCGTAGTTTTCGTGATACAGACGGGCAAATAAAATATAACATCCTGTATACAGCGACCAACTATTTTGATACTACGACGCCCATGCTCATGCATTGCATTTTTAGTGCACGACTGGTTCAGATGCGGTTTACTGCAACTCATTTAATTAGCTACTGTTAATTACACTTACTTAAATTATGGGATTAAAATGATTTCCAAATTTGGTAGCCCAATAATGCCAATATTTACCTGGAATTTTGGGACAATCGCAACAGGTCTACGATATGAAAAAAACTGCACAGCTTTGCAGCTTTAATGTTCGTTTTAAATTAATATAGGAAACCAAAATCATCTAATAATTACTTATCGGAGCTAAAATTCTAAAAATATTAATTTTGCCCTAGCTTCTCCATCTCGAGTCTGTCAGATGCTACAAAAATAATTTACATATCTCTACGCGGACAATTATAAAACTGATCAATTACATATGTGGTAACTGGTTTCTTTATCTACGGCGGCGGTAGAAATTAAAGCAGGTATTTCTACCTTCTGTCTCCAAACTGCTAAAAGAAATTAATAGTTCCAGAAGAACACTTTTCGTAACGAAGTACTTCTAGATACCGGGTGTTCATTAAAGCTTGTAGCGGTCACCTTTGTACGGTTTGTTCATAAAACACAAAATTTGTGCTTGTTTCAAAAAGCTTTAAAGGGTAGGTAGAAATGATCATTTTGACACAGAGTGGTAAGAAAATAGCGGATAAAGTAATACAGTTAAGATCCACAATGTAAAATGGGGCTGGTTGGATCTATTCGTTAAATTATGAAACAATACCGTGGTCGATACGATGCAAGGAAGAGAGCGAAAGAGTGTAATTGGCGTTTGAAACATTTATTTTTCGAATGTTTGCATTACAAATATAATATTTTCTTTCTATTGCTATTCAAATGCTATCTTGCAAAAAACAACATGATGAAAAAATTGTCTAGTCCCTATCTTGTGTAATGAAACTGTTCAGCAAATTGACCATAAAGTAACCAGACAGAAAGAGCAAAGAGCACACAATTTAGTTCTGCATCAAGGCAATATGTGTTGCCGTTTTCTCGACGAAATTGGTGAATAAATGAAGATTTTGCTCTTTCAATCCAATAAAAGAAAAAGATAGGAAGACCAAAAAATATAGTTTCGATACTTCAATACAATGGGTTGTACAGTTTCTTCATGTAATGTGGGATTTTTTAGTTTTTTTTATCTCATATATAAGATGTATTTGTGGGTGAAAAATTGTTCATTATTTTCTGACCACCTTGTGTAAAATGATCATTTTACCTACACTTAACAAGAGCGCTTTAGAAGAAACGATCATTTTAATAAAGTTGTCTCTCATATGACTCTCGCGGACACACTGTATATAACGTATTGCCAAAGATTAAAATATTTTAAGATTTTTGTTTCGTAAGTTAACTTTTCCTGTGTTAAATCCCATATTCTTTTCATGAAAAATATGTGTAATTGTCTATGAAGCTGATTTTTTCCAATGGAAGAGAGGGCACCAGACAAACCAGGTATAGGTATGGCATGTTGACACCCTCCCTTGTCTCCCCTAGCAAGGCAAGTTTAATTGAAATCGGAGAGTTACAGCTTGGAAGGTCGTCTCTAATTTTCGCTCATATTTTTTTTTGGTATAAACCAATGTCACTAATTTAATTTTGGTTATTTTGACACATGCGATAAGTATGTTTATAGAAAACAAATTTTTAGATAACAGATGGCATTATGTAGAAACTTTTAAAACAAGTTAAAAAGTGTGAACTTAAATTGACGAGAGCGTATTTTCCTCCCAATAATACATATTAATGCTAGCGCCGGCAAAAAAAGCGAGTAGATGAGCAAAGAGACTTCTAGATCAGGAAGTGACGTCACACCAATGAGAATCGAGTATTTCGGTCACGTGGTGACGTGTGAGCCAATGGGAGCGCGTGAGTCGGCCATTTTGCGACGTCACATTTTGTGTGTTTTGCTTCCGGTGTTTCTGGATCAGGAAACGCGTAATAGCTTGTGAAATATTTGCCTGAAAAAAAGTGCGTCGAGGATTTGAACCGTCGATACGCGAATTACGAATCTGTCGCTTTACTCATCTGAGCTAGGCGAGGCTTTAAGATATGAACGTTTAGCAGTTAAAGTATTGTTAGAATGGGGGCGCGATTGCAGGGGCGTAGAGGGTAAATCGTATGGGGTAGCAGTGGAAGCTGCTGGTGGTATGAGCGGTAGATACCCCTAGGCCGTATAAGCTATTTCGTAGGAGCGGGAGCTACCCCTATTATGTTTTTATAAAAGAGAAACCGCGCCTAATTGAAACAGGAAACTGCAATCTCGCTAGCAGTGATAACATTTATAAATAGGTATAGGCGCAAGATTATTATAAATGGCAGACGTATTAACCTATAACGAGGTGATGGTGGATCGCTGTGGAGGTGCAGGGTAGTGAAAGAAATATTTCAAAGGATCATCAACAATGGTTAACACCTTTATTCATATTTCAAATTAGGGTTATGTAATTATTTGTAAATTCGTTGTTGAGCCTACCGCTCCTATACTAGATATAAATACAACTTTATTTGTTACGGTCAACTTGAGGAACTCTAGCCGATTTTCTTCTGTGAAGTATGTATGGTAACGCTGCGGCAGTATGCACTTGAAGGTTGCGGTTTCGACCATAATTCGATCTCCAAACTTGGTGCCGATTACGCCGATATCAGTAATTGGGTATTTATTTCCAATTTCCAGATCTTTTGCATTTATGAATGGCTTACAATAGGTAGATGAGTTCAAGGAAGCGAAATCAAATTCTTCCATTATTATGAGCAGTAAATATCTGTAACAAATAAATAAGTGAAAAAATGAATAATCTAACCGATACTTAACAAAAATCATACTCACCAAATAACGCCGCAAACTAGTTCGCTCGAAGCACTGACTGAGACGTTAAATGCACTCGGCTTTTATTTCAATCCGCTAATCATAGCGGAAGCAGCATCCTGTCAGTGTTTCTAGAAATTTCTGAGCGGAAGCAGCATCGTGTCTCTTATCTACATCGAAATGTATTTAACCTGACGCATTATTAAGTCATTGCATTTGTATGTGCATGTGAGCAGACTGTCTCAACTACTACTTCAAAGGAGAAATCCTCTTTTAAGCAGCGAAAATCACACAAAATGTGACGTCACAAAATGGCCGACTCACGCGCTCCCATTGGCTCACACGTCACCACGTGACCGAAATACTCGATTCTCATTGGTGTGACGTCACTTCCTGATCTAGAAGTCTCTTTGCTCATCTAGGTACTAATGCGGTCGGCAAGAGATCCTTCACTTCAAATGAAATTTAAATGCTTTCGTAAATAAGAAAGTTGGCACTGCTCATGCGCAAAACCAAATTTTGAAACTGGCGTTAGATTTTCTTTTATTCCAAGTGCCTGTACATCAAATTTCTGCGAAAGAAAGGAAAGTTTGATACTTAGCGCTATAAATTGTAACTTTAATATATGTCAAATAGAAATAATTGAGGGACTGACATGCTAATTTACTTCCTCCATTTATCTTGGCGATTGAGTGGGCATTTGCATTATCTCGCAACTCGCTAATACAGCAAACCACCAATTACTTATTTCTAAAATTCACGTATTAAGAATTAAGATTACATCTAGCTCAAAGGAACTTCGAATTGCACTGCTGCTTTCCCCTGTATAACTAGAAATACTAGAACTAGACCCTCCGGGCCTGTGTGACATCCTACATCGACGATCACTGATCAGCATTAGTCTGGCCGTCTGGCGAAATGTAGAAATGCAAACTACGAGTAATATATAAAATTTAAAAAAATTGTGCCTCGACCGGGGATCGAACCATACATTGTGAAGCCCACAAAGCCTCATTTACATTTGGCAAGTTTACTGGCGGAAGTACTTCTGCCAGTAAACTTGCTACCAAATTTCTATTTACACGCTTGCTAATTTGCTTGTTCAAGTAGGTAGTAACAACAAAATGGCTCCAAGTGATGTGGTTCGCGCTGGTGTTAAAGTCGTATTGGTATTGTGACCACATTAATCACAGATGTAAATTCGAAGAGAAACAAAAGAAAACGAAAATAAGAGAATGGATAAACATAAAGGGGGGAGGGGCTGTGCCCTATTAATAAAAGAGGTTGCAACAGAAATCCAGATGATTATAAGAATTTCATGAGATTTAATAGTTCATTGTCCCGCTTTATCTTATTGATGTGGTTTTCTTTTCTAATGTCCCAAAATACCTCATATTTCTTATACACAATTAATATCTTTATTGTTTGGTCACTTCACTCCATTCTTCCAGAAAAATGTGTTAAAATAACTTTCTCACACAAGCAGAAACTACACAAAAACTTCAGAAATTTGCATGTCCAGACAGGAAAGTTGGTCACTCAACTAGCCAGGTCCTCAACTTCACTTGTCGCTTGCGGGCAAGTAGCAAGTGACTGGCAAGTGCACTTTCAGCCCATTTACACTAACTTGTCAAGCTTGGTGCCAGAAAGTACTATCCGCAAGTAAACTTGCCAAATGTAAATGAGGCTTTAGACGAACGATGACGCGATGACGGAGTATTTCGTCATGAGATTAAGGAATGTTTTCTTGAAAGATTTATAGATATTCGTGTCATGTGTAGATAAGTTAACAATAAAAGTAATATAGGTATTTGTTATTTATAGTGGGTAATTTTAGAGGTTAGCTGGAACAGTGGCGTAGCTAGGGTTCTCTGGGCCCAGTGCGGATCCAAATTTCTGGGCCCCCAAAGAAATACGAAATATGTGTGATAACCTAATGGGAAACATTTAAACAAAAATAAGCTATATTTGGTTTAGGAAATTTATTTACAGCGTTTTGTGTAAAAAAAATACATTTAAGTTCTATAAACTTATTTTACGTGCTTTCGTATTAGCAAAATCAGCAATAACAGAATTGAAATCAATCGTGCAGCGGTTTTGTCAACTGCATAAAAGTAATGAATAGCATAGAACATAACAGAATGAATTACGAAGGCCGGCTTGTTTTAGCTCATTTTTGATTAGCTTAAAAATGGTCAGAACTTACAAATTTACTTACCTTTATTTTATTCGTATTGTAACGTGATTTATAAATTCGGGTTCGATTTATATCAATATTTATTAAACAAAACTAAAACACTATAAAAACTGTACAATTTATATCCACTATTTATATTACACACTTCGCAATTTATATCAGATTTTCGCGCTCAATGTTTCGTCCCGCTATCGCGCGCGTAGAAAATTCCAGAGCGCCAAAGGCGACGTCACGTCTGGAGCGTTTCCGTTACAGTATTTCTGCAAACTATCGTTCAACCACAGATTTTCAAAAATGTTGCATAATTTTTGTTATCCCGGCCGCGCGGTTACACGGATGAATTATAGGGCCCCTTCGTTTCAGGGGCCCGGTGCGGACCGCACCCCCCTAGCTACGCCACTGCTGGAAACGTATACTTGACCTATGAGGCGCGCCCTATTGCAGGGAGAGTGCACGGACGTTATGAATTTATTATAAAAATTAAACTAAAAGTTTACACAAACCACGAAAGTGTCCAAATGTCAAGTTTTGTATCTACGCTGCCAACTTAAAACTTGTCAACGTAAATGGTGTTGCCAACACAAAACGTAGGGGTTCTAAAGTATCCTGTAGTTTTTCGTAATTAGTTTTTAATCAAATTAAAGCACCAAAATAGAAAAATAGTATAAATAATACGTGTTACAAATGCTTTATTGCGATACTTCTATCTTGTGGACACTCGTAGCTCCGCTTCGATACGCCACTCGTGTTACAGGATAGTCGTATTACAATAGGTCGCATTGTAACGGTTATCTTTCAATATTATACTATTGCAATCAAATGAGAATCTTTAGCGTACCTACTTATTGGAAAAGGTAACTATTGATGACAACATTGTCGGCATGTACCTATACCTATCCTTTGGACTACTGTTTACTGGAAAGTGCGTTTAGAGAATATGCAGCCACCAAATTAAAATCCGTTTCAGATGAAAGTATGAATTCATTTGTTACACCTTAAAAAAAAAAGTAATAAACTCATAAAAGCATTGGCATATCACACCATACACCAAAACGAAACTATACTTTTTAAAAATGCGTTCTTAACGGTAAATGGTTACATAAGTATAACATCAGAATGAATTTGTGCACACTTGTTATGTTTTGGATGCAATATATTTAATTTAGATGAGGAAATTTATTGTTTGGCAAGTAAATTAATTTTTGTGAACTGCGATTGCAATATATCTATCTATTGTTACAAGTTACGATATGACGAAGGTAACTTCCGCAGTTTTGCATGGCCGCTTCTTGCCAATTAAAACACACGCCATTAGTGCTAACAGAGATTAGAAAAGCATAATAAACATCTGTTACCTACATTAAAAATGTAATGAGAGTGAAAGTATCCGGTAATACGTGTTCGCATATTTTGATATATCAACTTTCCTTATAAAGAAGTACCTGCCGTATCTAATCAGGAAGGAGATTGATAATCACGATCTCATTTTAGCGTTCCACGAAGCAATTGGGGAAGCGATTGGATTATCCGTTGGGACACCAAGACATTTACAAGCATTGGGTCTTGTGCAAACGTCAGTGGACGATTCTGCGGTTAATATAAACTACTTATACATGATGGCGCTTGATAAGGTGGCATTTTTACCGTTTACTTATTTAATGGATAAATGGAGATATGACGTATTTAAAGGGGACATTTACAAAGATCAATATAATTGTCATTGGTGGAGATTGAGGTAGGTTATGACCACGAATGTAAGATGAATATTACATACTTTTGTAGTGAATTATACACGGGAATCAAGCCACCAGTTTTACGTTCCGAAATGGATTTTGATCCTGGCTCCAAATATCACATCGCAGCAAATATTCCGTACATGAGGTAAGCACATTTAAATTTTTCGACATTTATTAATTTAACAACGTCAAAGAAATTACAAACGTCAACATAATACTATAATACTGTACAGAATTAGAAATAGGAAAAAGATAAAGTAAAGTCTAAAATAATATCACTAGAGAAAGATTTAATGGTATCCTGAACTGTGATCTCCTTCTTCGCTCCCATAGTCGGAACCGCTGTCATGTCCGTGGTCGTGTACCGGGACGGGTACGGGTACCTTTACGGGAACCGGTACCGGTTTAGCGACAGGATAGGGAACTTTTTTGTAAACCGGTACCGGTACTGGATGATCTACTGGAATTTTGACAGCGTAGGGAACTGGCTTCTCAACCGGCACGGGTATATTCTTTTCGACAGGGTAGGGGGCAGGCACAGGCACTTTTACTGGGTACGGTACAGGTTTTTCCACTGGGTATGGGATAGGCCTATCAACAGGTACTTTAACAGGATAAGGAATTGGATTTGACACCGGATAAGGTATTTTCTTCTCAACGTGCACTGGGTACGGTTTTGGAATATGTACTGGGTAAGGTTTGTCCACGTTCACTTGAACTGGGTATGGTACAATTTTTTCAACTGGATATGGTTGAGGAACGTGTACGGGTATTTTAACGTGATAGTGTACCTTCTTTTCAACTGGATACGGTTGAGGCACATGTACTTTATATGGAACGGGTATTTCTTTGTATACAGGGTAAGGTTGCGGAACAAGAACTTTGACTGGGTAGGGTTGGTCGACATGAACTTTTACTGGAAAGTGAACTGGTTTTTCTACGGGATACGGATGGGGAACAGGTACAGGCACATTAACTTTAACGGGCACGGCGTAGGGTACTTTCTTTTCGACTGGATAGGGTTGTGGTACGTGCACCTTTACTGGAACATGCACGGTCTTTTCTACTGGAACGTGCACATGTTTAACTACGGGGTAGGGAACCGGAACATTTTTGACAACCGTCACGGTTTTTTGATGGTGGTCGTCTCCACCTCCGTGGTCGAATCCACCATAATCCTGCTCGCCTCCATGTCCTTCAGAAAACCCGCCGCCGCTGTGGCCTCCGTCAAAACCACCGAAATCGTGTCCACCAAAATCACCACCGCCATATCCCAATTCAATACCACGTTTATCTTGCTTCTTATCTTGGGGTTCTGCGGATTTAGAATCTGTGGCTTTTGTTTCGGTCTTTGATTCGGCAGTTACGAGCAGAAGTAATGCGCACAGCGTCGAAATACCCTACAATGTAAACCGATTAGTTTTATTATATAATCCTTAGATTGCGTTCGATTCGACAAATTAACGATTCACTTAACGCGAACACCGTATGTAGTCTACATTCACTCACCAGTAATTTCATTGTGCCGTGTAAATTAAACGCATAAAGGAGAAAACACTACTGGATGCTTCTGAAATAGATGCCCCGTCCTTATATAGCAATTTGACTACTTTCGCCAGCCCCCTTCAACGTATGATGGTTATGGAAAGACGGTTACCGATAGTATCCCGCGAAAGCGTCGTATATCCGCTAATTATTAAGAAAGATTATTAACTGTAACATTGAAGTAATTATCAATTACGATTTGGCTTATTGTAAACATATTTGATTTTATAGTCATGCACCGTACAGAAATCGTCAGCAAATTGATGTTAGTGTGCGTTACATATAGCAATACAATTAGGTACTTTATTAGCCTTTCCATTCAATAAATTGTCTTCAATTTGTCATCCATCGATTTCGATTAAAGTAAAAAAGCATTTTAGCGTAAATTTATAATTGCAATTATCTTAGTCGATATAAATCAGTTGTGGAAAGTCTGCACTCTGCAAGTACGTATTAAGTGGTGCAAATATGCAGTACTTACCTGCACACATTGTGCACATAGCTTAATGTGTACTTCAACGGACAAGCTACGATTTAGTTTGGGAAACAGTACAGATAAAATTAACCACCCTAAATATTTTCTAAAATAACTTTGATTTAAAAAAATATACGTCAAGTTGGATTTAAAGGAAATACAGTGCAGATTTTTATCCCCTGATTCTTTCATTGTTTTCCATAGGCTTAAGGTCCAAGCCAAATTGTTATTTAGCAGTCGATCATACCTGCGTGTCCTCTTTCTTCTTGAATTTTGGAAGGTACTTAGCCTTTCCTGACCGCACTGCATACATGGTCTCAGAAAAACGTCAATATACACTAAGCTAGAGCTTCGAGATGATCGTTTCAGCAACTATGAAGAGGTAAAGACCACTTGAGGCGAGACGGAAACACATGCTGTTTATTTCCAGCAAACAGACATATTGCTTCCATGTCGATGTTATATAACGTCAGTATACTTCGGGAATATTGCAGTGATGTAATCGGAGCTGCTAAGGTAACTTAGAAGTTAATTCCAATTTTCTATACTCATACATAGTGTGGTTACATAACACACAGATAGTTTATGTTTATAAATGGCTGCAAAATAATGTTCTGAAGCAAGTAATCAGTATGAACGTCCTTAGGTAAAGAATTAGACCCAATACTGTAGCTTGCAATGAAATGTTATTCATTACATTTTAAAGTGTAACTTCTTCTGAGATAACACTAATGTTGTGCGTACTATAGGTACGGGGTGTAATAATTCAACATGCAAAATAAAATTGAGGGTTAGAGATCGAAACAAATTTTTTTTTCCAATAAATTGTACCTGTAGCATATTTCAATTGGGGGTCCACGCCTCCAAAGCTCTTGTCTTTCTTCTTTAATTCTTTCTTCAGCAACTAAAACACATCTGATTATGATGGAATTGATTAATTTGTCTAGGTTTTTAGATCTAAGTTTTCCACTTCTACAAATATTTTCCTAAAATTCCACCATGATCAATGATCGTGCACATCTAAACGGAGCCGTAAATATCGATGTTGTTGTTATCTAGGTATTTTTCAATATGAAAATAACGAAACCAAACCTATAGTCTTTGAAAATTAAATAGAAATTTCAATTATAGTATTTACTCATGAAATACTGACAATTTTTTGAATCCAATAAAGAATTACAACGGGATCTTTTTCGAATTTTCCTTCTGTGTTCGATTCTGAGCAAAAATTAGATTGTAGGTCGACACAAGGTGTGCTGTGACCGGCAATCTTTCCTGGCTAGAATTATACATTAATCTTTATGAGATTATACTTTCTTACGTAATTTGGACCGTCTGTCCCATGCCTATTGTGTGGAATAGTGATGCGAGATGAGATTTATTATGAGTTTGGTCTCGTCTCGAAATTTCGAAGACGAATTCAGCGTGCAGCAGACTATCATTGACCCATCTCATCTTGAGACTTTGGTTCCGTCTGGCCTTGAGTTTACGATAAGTGAACACTGTATACCTTAGTAGGTGCACGTCTCACCTCATTACATTTTGTCCTTTCCTATCATCGAATGGTGATTTTCTAATGTTGGTAAACAAATATTCGGAATTTCTGAATACGTACTTTTATTTGTTTTCAAGTGCAAGGTAAAATTTCTTCTTGTTCTTTCCGTACATTACTATAAAACTTATATTTATCCGAGTCTAATTGCTATTATTACTTAAACCGGAAAAGAAAGTATTAGACACGCATTTACTGCCTCCGTTCCTTAAACAAGTTATTTCGTATGTTATTAATTAGATACAAGTCGGAGCACAATAAAAAGAAGTGTTGCAGTTTTTGATGTTAATTAAATGGTATTTGCAACTATATATTTGGTAAATTTTTCAAAAGGAAGTTTGCAACAAAAACCATGAATCTTCTCTTCACAATTAGTGACTGTGATCATAGTTTGGATTGCAAGTATTTCTTTCCAAATAAAGCATACAGTCGGCGTTATGTGGATGGATTATGCTCTGAAAATTGCATTTATGCAATTTTCTGTTCGTACTATTTTACGATATTTTACAGGAAAACTACGTAAGACGAATCTTACGTTATCCATATGTTGGAACATGTGCGATGGTCCGCTATTGAGAAATGAGGATCTCCTAATAGAAATACGCGCTTTCGTTTTATCTAATGATCCAGTTAATTTAAATTATCCATACGTTGGTTCCGCCGCATATACCTACGAGTACTTAGATGGTTTATATAAACGTAGGTATTGATAGGTATATTTCGATTCATCTTTGCACAAACGTCCTTTTCAGCACGGTATATACATGAAAATAAAGCTACTTTAGTATTATAAATATATGTATAGCGTTCAGTTGGTTTTATTTCAGAAAACAAATGAGTAAGGATAGCGCAATCGATTTTTTTCAAATGCAATGTACTTTTTGATTGGGCTCGTTTGATAGATTTTTTTTTTTTTGAAATTTTTGAACTAGGCTGTTTCCGTTCTGGATAACGCTGCAAATATGCTGCAGCAGCCATGAGGGCATTTCGATGCGAAGTGTAGTAAATTTCTACCATATCTCCTTGTTCTGCGCTTATGCAAATGGCATTTTCGCAATAAAACTAGCATGCACAAACGTAAATGGCCCTATGTAGGTACTTGAAACAGGACCAAACTGTTAAATTTTTGTTTACAATAAAAGAACGTTTTGTTTTTCCAAAACACTCTTCGCAAATAATGAAAAACTGTATTTTTAGGAAAAATGTGATTCTGAACCATCATGTACATACAATACATCGTTGCAAAGAGAAATAAAGGTGTAATTTCAAAATGTCAACATCCAAAATATAAAAAATTAGAGTTGCCACGTGGTTCTCAGTCTCTAGGTTAAATCCATAAACCCGCAGGGTCACACCGCTCTTCTTTACACGAGATTTAATCTGTTTTCAAATGTTGTCCTTTTAGTCTAGGAAACGAAACTCTTGAAATACTGTAAAACCTTGCAATTTTTTGAAAATGCATCGATTCGCATGAAAATTTGGGATTAGGTTAAACTTATCCTCCACTTCCAAATCTATATTATGCCGATGGGCGCTCTTCATTTTTTAGGTGTGAAAACTACCCCTTTTTGCCAAACCCATAAAACTACATTAAAGCTTAAGGTGAGTACAATTTGGTTCAGATGAGTTGAGTGATGAGATTGTTAGAGGCTTTGGAACATTCTTTCAGAATATTTCCACCCTTAAAAATTAACCCTTACTGCGGTTTAATAAAAAAAAGTGAATAATTTATTATTGACGACAGTTGTTCAATGTGCATTTCGGACAAAGTATGGTGTTCGACCTCCTGATAGATGGGGTATCAAACGTTGATATAAACATTAAACATTTCATAGAGAAAGAGTGTTTGTGTATTTGTGCAAAGGTAAAAGTTCCTGGCAGCCGCGCACGTACGTATAATCGTATCGATATCTCTCGAGAGGGGTCATATTCAACACCTGTGAATCTTTTTTCTAGTGGAAAAAAAACTTACTTTAATACGCTTCATTTTGATATAACCCATGGTTCATTTTGATTCTTTAATTAAAATTCAGATTTTCAAAGTGGTGATATTCTTTTTGAATCGCTCTGTATATGCATTACATAGTGTGTGTATGTATGGAATGAATGTAACTGTGTATGTCAGTTTCTAATGTGTAGTATACGAAATATATACCCGTCATGTAGCATACTTCTTCGATTTGTGTTTTCAAAATTTTTTGAAAAAAATTGTAATTCTTTTACTTTTAATTAAAACTTCTTTATTTTTCAAGATAGAAGTGCATTAAAAAACCATTTTGTAGGTTTTTACAAGAGCTACAAGGTTGTTCACATCAACTCCCTTTAAAACTCTTAGTTTTAAAATGGAGTGAGCTTAAAGTGTTAAAAGAAAGTAGTGCTCGCATACGTTTTAAACGTCTAGATCTCACTTAATTTTTGTCGTACAGAAAATTCCCGGCGAGGAGAATGTTTGCAATTAAAAAAGCTACAATTGGATGTTCTAGCATTTTTTACGTATCTCCAGTTGTTTTCTAGTTATTTTGAAGAGAAGGACGTTATTCACAAAATTGTAAAAATTCGTTTTTCATTTTTAGCTTTAATTATTTGAAAATTAAGTCTTCTAAACTGGTCGCACTTCTAGAATGTATTACTAATGCGCAATTAGGGAAAACTGGAAAAGGGGAAGGACTAATTTTAATGAGGGTGGTAATTAGGGGGTTGCTTGTGCTGATTTTTTCGCTGAAAAAAGTACGGATCTACTTTATTTTCATCATCATTCATCATTTTCAACTCACTTAACTTTTATACTAGTTTGTTTAAAAAAAAAAGAGAAAGGTTTTTTTTAATACTTTAAAGAATATTCTACAAGTTGTTCTCGAAAAATGCATAGTTTTGCCGTTATTTGGCTGTGAAATGCTCTAATTTAGCGTTTGACGAACAAGAGCTAACCTTTAACAAACCAAAACCCGGTTCGTATTGGTCATACATCAATTATTTAAAAAAAACGTTTTCTTTGTTTTTTTA